ATATAATTTCCACCAACTATCTTGCCTAAATCTTTCTTACATTTAAACTCACTAAAAATCACAAATATTCTAACTCAATCAAGAAAACTTTACAGGTGTGTCCGTGTTTTTCACCAGGATCTCAGACAGTTACAGCTGTATATATGACACTGAAGCCCAAGGGGACCTGAATCTGAACTGTGCTGTATTTACCTGTCCAGCCATGGATCCACAGGCCCCAGCTGCGCCGCTCACCACCATGGTCTGATTGGCCCCTTCGCTCACATGACCCTTCTCCCTGATGCCCAACAGTGCAGCGAGCCCTGTCATACCAACTGCACCCAAATAGTAGGACAAGTGTCCGTCAACTAACTCTGCTTCAACCTGCAACAGACAGAAAATAACATCACATTTAGTATTAACTGATGTCAGAGAGCTTTTAGTGCATTTTAAAATCATTAAATGAATTATGTCGACACACAGAAATATATCTCACCTTCTGTAAGTCACTTTCTTTTAAAACAGCATGGGTCTGCCAAGGACAGTTGAATGCAACCACCACATCTCCCTCACTGTAAGTGCTGCAGCGGCTGGACTGAACCACACCGACACCTCCACCGTCCACACACTCAGACAGCTGCCACGGAGTCATTTCCTCAAAACCAGTCTCTTCATTCATTCTGCACCGCTGACAAGCAAAAACAGAATGATGAATAGCTGACAGTAACAAGAAGAAGCTTGAGTCCTTGTTTCTTCCCTGAAAACATTTTGTTTTGTATCATTTAAATACACCAGACAGTCCTGAATTTTAATATGGATACACAAATATAATAACTTGTTTCCTACCATGTAAGGGTCGACTGAGAGGTAAAGTGTCCGGACAAGGACCTCTCCATCCTTCAGGTCAGTTGCCAAAGTCGCCTCCTCCACACGGAAATTTTCATGAACTGGCACCCCAGCTTTACCTTTATGTACAAATAAGCAGTTTGAGTAACGTTAGCCACACGGAGAGAATAATGCTGTAAAACACGACACACCAATGTAGGTTATTGTATATTATGAAAGGTTTCCTACCTGGTCTTGAGTTGAGAACGACTCTCTTCACCTGCATCCTTGTAAAGTAGTGTTAGCCTTGATATCTGAGCGAAGACGTACCTGAATGAATAACCACACCTGGCAATGAGCATCAGCTTTTATACCCGCTACAGTCACAGTGTTAAAATATGCGAGCACCACGAGAAAACAACCAACTGACAACAAAACCAGCTCTAAATCAAATATGTGTTGATAACTGACAGGTTGCTGATGTTGTTTGTAGGCTAACAAGAAGTCAGCAGATAACATCATAACATAATAATAGACCCCCAGCTTAAGAAGATTGGTACAACTTATTTATGCAGCCTGTGGTCAAACTATCTAACAGGATTTAAGCTAAAACAGAGGTTGGTAACAGGGAAACTTCTGTTTGGGCTAAATAAGACTGTGGGTCCAGTTCAATCTTTGCTACAATTTCAAGGTCAAACGACGTTTCCTTGAAACGGTGTGAAACGTGCTGTAGGGTGCTTTCTGTTGTTTGGTGGGTGTGTCAGAGGTGTACCCAATCAGCTGCAGCATTAATATTGCAATGTCAATGTATGTTTCCAATACCAGTAAACCTTTGAACTGAACTGAATCAAACCCCACTGTGTTAAAAGGAAGTGCGCCTGGGGGTGTTCACCCCACCCCTGTTATCTGTTTAAATAAACGCTTTGCTATGTTTTGTTGGGGCTGAATGTAGCAGTTGTCTGTTGACTTTCTGTTGGCCTACAAACAGCAACAGGAACTTGATTGTTATCAACGCATATTGGATTTAGAGCAGCTTCTGCAGTCAGTTAGTCTACAGTACAGGCCAAAAGTTTGGACACACCTTCTCATTCAATGCGTTTTCTTTATTTTCATGACTATTTACATTGTAGATTCTCACTGAAGGCATCAAAACTATGAATGAACACATGTGGAGTTATGTACTTAACAAAAAAAGGTGAAATAATTGAAAACATGTTTTATATTCTAGTTTCTTCAAAATAGCCACCCTTTGCTCTGATTACTGCTTTGCACACTCTTGGCATTCTCTCCATGAGCTTCAAGAGGTAGTCACCTGAAATGGTTTTCCAACAGTCTTGAAGGAGTTCCCAGAGGTGTTTAGCACTTGTTGGCCCCTTTGCCTTCACTCTGCGGTCCAGCTCACCCCAAACCATCTCGATTGGGTTCAGGTCCGGTGACTGTGGAGGCCAGGTCATCTGCCGCAGCACTCCATCACTCTCCTTCTTGGTCAAATAGCCCTTACACAGCCTGGAGGTGTGTTTGGGGTCATTGTCCTGTTGAAAAATAAATGATCGTCCAACTAAACGCAAACCGGATGGGATGGCATGTCGCTGCAGGATGCTGTGGTAGCCATGCTGGTTCAGTGTGCCTTCAATTTTGAATAAATCCCCAACAGTGTCACCAGCAAAACACCCCCACACCATCACACCTCCTCCTCCATGCTTCACAGTGGGAACCAGGCATGTGGAATCCATCCGTTCACCTTTTCTGCGTCTCACAAAGACACGGCGGTTGGAACCAAAGATCTCAAATTTGGACTCATCAGACCAAAGCACAGATTTCCACTGGTCTAATGTCCATTCCTTGTGTTTCTTGGCCCAAACAAATCTCTTCTGCTTGTTGCCTCTACTTAGCAGTGGTTTCCTAGCAGCTATTTGACCATGAAGGCCTGATTTGCGCAGTCTCCTCTTAACAGTTGTTCTAGAGATGGGTCTTCTGCTAGAACTCTGTGTGGCATTCATCTGGTCTCTGATCTGAGCTGCTGTTAACTTGCGATTTCTGAGGCTGGTGACTCGGATGAACTTATCCTCAGAAGCAGAGGTGACTCTTGGTCTTCCTTTCCTGGGTCGGTCCTCATGTGTGCCAGTTTCGTTGTAGCACTTGATGGTTTTTGCGACTCCACTTGGGGACACATTTAAAGTTTTTGCAATTTTCCGGACTGACTGACCTTCATTTCTTAAAGTAATGATGGCCACTCGTTTTTCTTTAGTTAGCTGATTGGTTCTTGCCATAATATGAATTTTAACAGTTGTCCAATAGGGCTGTCGGCTGTGTATTAACCTGACTTCTGCACAACTCAACTGATGGTCCCAACCCCATTGATAAAGCAAGAAATTCCACTAATTAACCCTGATAAGGCACACCTGTGAAGTGGAAACCATTTCAGGTGACTACCTCTTGAAGCTCATGGAGAGAATGCCAAGAGTGTGCAAAGCAGTAATCAGAGCAAAGGGTGGCTATTTTGAAGAAACTAGAATATAAAACATGTTTTCAGTTATTTCACCTTTTTTTGTTAAGTACATAACTCCACATGTGTTCATTCATAGTTTTGATGCCTTCAGTGAGAATCTACAATGTAAGTAGTCATGAAAATAAAGAAAACGCATTGAATGAGAAGGTGTGTCCAAACTTTTGGCCTGTACTGTATATCTCTCTCTATATATCTCTTCAAACAATTTATCAAGAGTGGTAAAATCAAGAAAGTTGAATCCACCAGAATCATGAGTATTTATAACAGACTTTTTCACATAATGAGTTTTGTTGTTCTGTTAGAGAAAATTCTGTAAATTCTGTTACATAGTGAGAAACGGAGAAACTGCTGCATATGTGAGTCCACGTAATCCCGCTTTAGTGGCACAGTCTTTTTAGGACGAGTCTCTTTATTACCACTGGTTACGTTTTTTTCTTGATTAATCAATAAGGCTCAAGTTTTTGGAGAATCTTGTTTCTTAATTTTTCATTATTGTAATCCCCAAATAAGTAACCTTTTCTTTAACCGGTAAGTTACAGACATAGGCTACAATCTTTGAGAGTGCACATTTTTCAGACAAAGTCCAGACGCTGCAGGTGTCATTAGCAAGTTTATTTATTACTATGTCTCTGTTTGCAATGAATACTTATTTCAATGTGCTATTTTTAGTATGACTGGTAAGAAGTTGAGTACAAAGAATGAATAAATATGAGAAGGCCCTGTTTTAAATCAAACCTCAGGGATGTACCATTTTTCAATCTGATGGAGCTATTACCATTGTGGTACATTGTTTTGACGGCTTTCATTACTAAGTGAATCCAATACATGTTAAATAGGCAATTATTGAGGCAAAATTTTTGTTTAGTAAAAAAACAGGTTGCCAGTTATCAATAAAAAGAAGATCTGCCTGCTGTAGCTGCCTTGAGGGCCAAACGGCACCTGTGTTTTGAAAGTAATGAGGTGGGAAAAGTTTTTTTTAAAATGTATTTTTATCCATCCATTTTTATCCGCTTATCCAGTGCTAAGCAAAGCACCCCAGACGCCCCTCTCCCCAGCAACACTCTTCAGCTCCTCCTGGAAGACCCTGAGGCTTTCCCAGGCCAGATGAGATATGTAATCCCTCCAGTGTGCTCTGGGTCTGCCCCGGGGCCTCCTACCAGTGGGCCATGCCCATGCTCATGAGGCATCCTGATCAGATTTTCATATATATCATTATTTTTTTGAACAAGTTATTTAGTAATTGGGAAAAATCCATTTTCACAAAATAAGATGGGCATGCTTTAAATTGGATTTTGGACTTTTCTATCAAGAACTATAACAATATGGCACAATGAGAGGCATTAAGAATAAAAAAGGCAATTAAAACTAAATATGTGTTTAAAAAACAGATGAACTAATGATATAGGCTATTACTCAAGATTTGTATTAGGCTACTGTTGTTTTTTTTTTTTTTTTTTTAATAATTCTGTTTTCTCTCTTGTACCCCTGGTATGGACAGTTAAACATTCACATAATATTAATGTAATCAAAAGCTAGCTAGATAAATAAATAAATCCCTCTCATTAGCAGATAATTAGCTAATGGTTAGCTATACATTATTTTGACAGATGACATACCGCGCATGCACTAAATGCAACGGCTGCCTGGTAACTGTTAAGATACAGTAGGTGTTAATCAACCGAGTTAGAGACAGGTACACCTCTCGCTTTTTGCTGCCTACAAACAACGTAAGGAACCTGTCCGTTATCAACTTATGTTTGATTTAGAGCAGGTTTTCACCTGTCGCTGACTCTTTTTAACACTGTGACTGTAAAGCCTGATTTAACAGGTAGCTGACGCTCGTTGCCAGGTGTGGTCATTCATTCAGGTACGTCTTCGCTTAGTTATCAGAGCTAACTTTATTTTTCAAGGATGCAGGTGAAGAGAGTCGTCCTCAACTCAAGACCAGGTAGGAAACCTTTCATAATATATAATATATTCATTTTCTTGTGTCGTGTTTTATAGCATTATTCTCTCCGTGTGGCTAACGTTATTCAAACACTTATTTGTGCATTAAGGTAAAACTGGTGTGCCAGTTCCTGAAAATTTCCGTGTGGATGAGGTGACTTTGGCAACTGACCTGAAGGATGGAGAGGTCCTTGTTCGGACACTTTACCTCTCAGTCGACCCTTACATGGTAGGAAACAAGTTATTATATTTGTGTATCCATATTAAAGTTCAGGACTGTCTGGTGTATTTAAATGATACAAACAAAATGTTTTCAGTGTAGAAACAAGGACTCAAGCTTCTTCTTAGTGCTGTTATATCACACTGTACTAGTCTATATATTACTATAGGCAAGACTTCATTATAAAACTATATGCAAAGCTTCCCCATCTCCATCCCTCCTACTCATCATTCTGTTTTTGCTTCTCAGCGGTGCAGAATGAATGAAGAGACTGGTTTTGAGGAAATGACTCCGTGGCAGCTGTCTGAGTGTGCGGATGGTGGGGCCGTATGTGTGGTTCAGTCCAGCCGCTGCAGCACTTACAGTGAGGGAGATGTGGTGGTTGCATTCAACTGTCCTTGGCAGACCCATGCTGTTTTAAAAGAAAGTGACTTACAGAAGGTGAGATATTTCTGTTTGTCATCATAGTTCATTTAATGCCTTTAAAATGTACTTAAAGTTCTCTGGCATCAGTTAATACTAATTGTGATGTTATTTTCTGTCTGTTGCAGGTTGAAGCAGAGTTAGTTGACGGACACTTGTCCTACTATTTGGGTGCAGTTGGTATGACAGGGCTCGCTGCACTGTTGGGCATCAGGGAGAAGGGTCATGTGAGCGAAGGGGCCAATCAGACCATGGTGGTAAGCGGCGCAGCTGGGGCCTGTGGATCCATGGCTGGACAGGTAAATACAGCTCAGATACGAGACCTGTTAGGCTTCAGTGTCATATAGCTGTCTGAGATACTGGTGAAAAACACAGAAACAGCTGTAAAATTGTCGACATGTTTACTCTCTTGTATCCTGAGTTAGAATATTTGTGATTTTTAGTGAGTTTAAATGTAAGAAAGATTTAGGCAAGATAGTTGGTGGAAATTATATTTCAAAAGCCACACTCAGAGTAGCAGATGTAATCCAGCCGACCACAGATGCTAACATAAACAGAGATCAGATTGCATCCTGATTGTATCATGTCACCTCTGTGTTTCCAGATTGCCCGGCTGGAAGGTTGTGTGAGAGTGGTTGGGATTTGTGGCTCTGATGAGAAGTGCAAAGCGTTAGTGGACGACCTGGGCTTCTCTGCAGCCATCAACTACCGCACAGAGGACGTCTCTGCAAAGCTGAAGGAGTGCTGCCCTGATGGGATAGATGTTTACTTTGACAACGTGGGAGGTGACATCAGTGATGCTGTCATCACACAGGTACTGCCTGAGTTGTGTCTTGTGGTTTTTCGTTCTCAAATTGTACCGCAGACATTTACAGAAGTAGAAGTGGTGGCTGTGGATTCTGAAGTGTTTCCTCCTGATCTTCATCAGTGAGTGTTTTGTGTCTTGTCTCACGCACTGACCTTCGACCTTCTTCTTACCTCCAGATGAACAAGGACAGCCATGTGATCCTGTGTGGGCAGATCTCACAGTACAACAAGGACGTGAAGTATCCTCCACCCCTGAGCGAGAAGACACAGGAAACCCTGCAGAAGAAGAACATCACCCGGGAGGAATTCACAGCACTTAGCTACATGGACAAAATAGACCCTTCCCTCTATGAGCTCAGCCAGGGAGTTAGATCAGGCCACGTCAAGGTAAGGAGGAAATGGTGATGACATGTGGTCGACTGTGTGTGTATGTGTGTCCTTGTTTGTTTGCAGAATGAACGCCTCTCCTCCGTCTGTCTGTTCACATCATTTAGTTGATTTTGCTTTCACTCTGCAGGTGCTGGAAACTGTAGTGAACGGCATTGAAAAGATGGGAGGTATGTGGGTGTTAATTCCTCCATTTTGTTTCTTTATTGTGTGACTTTTCTATTAACTTGGCAGAAGTTGAATGATTCTTTTCATTTTCTTGCAGATGCATTTTGCTCTATGATGAAAGGTGGCAACGTTGGCAAGCAAGTTGTAAAGATATCAGAGTGAGGAGAATCACTGGAGCTGCTCTCACCAGACAGAGGCCTCGGGGAATTAACCTACAGCTGCCTGCCTGTATACGAGCTCCGTCACTATATGTAACTTATTGAGCTCTGGGGAAAATATTGCATCAGTTAGCTGATGCCTGTTGATGAACCATGAGTGGAAAGTCACGCAATGTCCTGTGAAACTGTGTTCTTTAGAAGAATAAAATGAAATGTAAAATTTTAATACTTTTTAAAAGACTTTGGAAATTGGTGCAGCAGTTTAATAAAAGTAGAAAATTGCAATTCTGCCTCATGATATTTACTGACTTCTTAATTGTAAAAGAGTGTCGTGGTTTTAAAGTCTTCCAGTGTAGAAAAGAGGAATTTGATGGACCCTCTATTCCACCTTTGGACACCTTGACTTCCTGATGACCTCTCACTTTTTCACCTGCAAGAAAGACAAACACCCTCCAGTTCTATGGACAACAAGTAGGACTGGTGATTAGCAGCAGTAAAACCAAAGTCATGCTCATCAACATCAATAAACTGCATAACTGACTTACTGTAGCTGCCTGAAGGACTCAATGACACCTTTCCCCTTTAATTTTACCCCTCGCATGAACAGTTCTTGTGTACATAATGTTAATGTATCTTTGTTTCTTACAATAAAATAAAATAAAATAGTCACAATTTTTTCAAACATGAAAGTAGCAAATAAACAAAATAGTCATACAGTGGTAAACAGACATTAAAAAACAGGATTCTAAAAGAAGCATGAAAACTGAAAACAACATATAATCATTTCATTTACATGTCCAGAAAGGAGTGGGAGGAAGTACAAACTTATTTATTCTCACCCCCTTCTCTATATATTAATAATAGTCAATTATGTAGCCCCACATCACCATAAAGCTGTACAATAATTAATTCTCTTAGACCTATTCTAATATATTAAAATAATTACCAATAATATTTGTCTTACAGCAAGACATAAATAATTACAAAAATACTTGGAAAATAAAAATATTAAATAAACTAATATAAATGAATAAATACATCTCATTAGCAAGTGTCAGATCATTAGCTAACAGTTAGCTAACATTAGTTTGACAGATGTCATAGCGCGCATGCGCCAAATGTAACGGCTGCCTGCTAAACGTTTAAAAACATAATAATTAAAGACATATTCGTCCGTGGGTGTTACTCGAGGCTGTCTCTATCTACCTCTTTCATTAAATATGTCTTTAAAAATTAGACACGGAATTAAATATGAGATGCTATCTGACTCAGAGCTAACGAAGATCGGTCCAACTGCCTGACGGGATTTAAGCGAAGGCGGAAGTTGGTGACAGATAACCCTCTCGCGCTGCGCTAAGTGGCACTGTGGTCTGTTGATTTTCTTTGCTAGCTTACAGTCAACATAAGTAACCTATCTGTGGTAATGTAAAGACAACATTTAGAGCAGGTTTTGTCGTGAGTCGGACATTTTCTCGTGTTGCGCTCACCTTTGAAGACTTCTAGCACTGTGACCTAAAAGCTGACGCTCGTTGCCAGGTCTGGTTATTTATTCAGGTACGTCTTAGCTCAGATATCAAGGCGAACGTTACTTTTCAAGGATGCAGGTGCAGAGAGTCGTTCTCAACTCAAGACCAGGTGCGAAACTCTTAATAACAAATGATAACGTATATTCCTGTGTCCAGTGTTACAACAGCACTGTTCCTGTGTGGCTAACGTTACTCAAACTACGTATTTGTACATAAAGGTACAAACGGAGTGCCAGTTCCCGAAAATTTCCGTGTGGAGGAAACGACTTTGACACCTGACCTGAAAGATGGAGAGGTCCTTGTTCGGACACTTTACCTCTCAGTCGACCCTTACATGGTAGGATACAGTCAGAGTGGACACACACGTTAAGTTACTGTATATACATATGCATATTAAGATTCTAGAGTGTCTGGTGTATTTCAGTGTAAGAAAACAAAAAATTTTTTCAGTGAAGAAACAAGGACTCAAGCTTCCTCTTAGTGCTGTAATGTCACATTCACCTAGTCCAGATGTTACTATAGGCAAAAGTCAGGTATAAAACTACATGCCAAGCTTCCCCATCTCCATTCCTCCTACTCATCTGTCTGTTTTTGCTTCTCAGCGGTGCAGAATGAATGAAGACACTGGTGTTGATTATGCAGCCCCATGGCAGCTGTGTGAGAGTGTGGACGGTGGAGGTGTCGGCGTGGTTCAGTCCAGTCGCTGCAGCACTTACAGTGAGGGAGATGTGGTCACTTCATTCAACTGGCCTTGGCAGACGCATGCTGTTATGAAAGGAAGTGTCCTACAGAAGGTGAGGTATATTGTTGGGCATGCACTAAAAGTTCTCTGACATCAGTTAATACTAAATGTGATGTTACTTTCTGTCTGTTGCAGGTTGATTCACAGTTGGTTGACGGACACTTGTCCTACTTTTTGGGTGCAGTTGGTATGACAGGTCTCACTGCACTGTTGGGCATCAGGGAAAAGGGTCATGTGACCAAAGGGGCCAATCAGACCATGGTGGTGAGCGGCGCAGCTGGGGCCTGTGGATCTATAGCTGGACAGGTAAATACTGCACATTTCAGATTTGAGTCCAATTTGGTTTCAATGTCATATATACAGCTGTAGCTTCTGATATACTGGCAAAAAGCAGTTGGAGCGAGTTAAAATCTTTGTGATTTTAATAGGTTTAAAGGAGCAGTGCGTAGGTTTTAGTGGCATCTAGTGGTAAGGACTGCTGACTGTAACCAGCTGAAACCAACTATGTGCCAAGCGCGAACACCCAGTTAGAATTCCTTCAGTGCTGATTGTTTAGGAGGTTTTTACCAGGAGCCGATTTGTCTTCCTCCTCTGTAAAACAAACTTTTTGATTTAAACCGGTAAAAACACTAAATAAAGTATCTATCCATCCATTTGAGCAAGGTACTCCTGACGTCCCTCTGCCCAGCAGCGTTTTCCAGCTCCTCCTGGGGGACTCCAAAGCATCCCAGGCCAAATGTGATATATAAGCCCTCCAGCAAGTTCTGGGTCTGCCCCGGACCTCCTACCAGTTGGAGATGCCCGGAAAACCTCCAACATGAGGCGCCCAGGAGGCATCCTAATGCGATGTCCAAACCACCTCAACCGGCCCCTTTCAGTGAGAAGGAACAATGGCTCTACCTCGAGCTCCTCACCATATCTTTAAGGCTGAGCCCGACCACCCTCCAGAGGAAACTCATTTCGGACGCTTGTATCCGTGATCTCAACCTTTTGGCCACTACCCAAAGCTCATGACCATGGGTGACGTTTGGGACATAGTTGGACCGGTAGGATGAAAGGTTAAAAATGAGTGTTTTTTTGACACTGCTTGTTGCAGAGGGGCTGCTAACTACGGTGGTCAATGCAAAAACACAAATGGCCTTATCTAGAGCCAGTGTTTGGTGTGTTTGTTCTGGGCTACTGTAGAAAGTATGGCAATCTTCGTATACTAGGTCCTGCTCCCTATGTTGATTAAAACAGCTCATTTTAAGGTAACAAAAACACACAAATTCTTATTTTCAGGTTATCATACACTAAAGAAAACATACTTATTTTATCATATTGCATTTCTGACAATATATCCCCCTCAGTCCTGCACACTGGACCTTTAAATTTAAGCAAGACAAAGGCAAGATGGTTGGTGGGAACTATATCTGCAACATTTCAAAACCCACACTCAGAGTATCAGATCTAATCTAGCCGACCACAGATGCTAACATAAACAGAGATCAGATTACAAAGAGAAGAAAGTAGCATCCTGAGTATATGTCAAACTGCTTCTGTGTTTCCAGATTGGACGGATGGATGGTTGTGTGAGAGTGGTTGGGATTTGTGGTTCTGATGAGAAGTGCAAAGCTTTAGTGGACGACCTGGGCTTCTCTGCAGCCATCAACTACCGCACAGAGGACGTCTCTGCAAAGCTGAAGGAGTGCTGCCCTGATGGGATAGATGTTTACTTTGACAACGTGGGAGGTGACATCAGTGATGCTGTCATCACACAGGTACTGCCTGAGTTGTGTCTTCAACAGTGAGTGTCATGAGTCTTTTCTCACACACTGACCTCTGACCTTCTTCTTACCTCCAGATGAACAAGGACAGCCATGTGATCCTGTGTGGGCAAATCTCACAGTACAACAAGGACGTGCCTTATCCTCCGCCCCTGAGCGAGGAGATACAGGGAACCCTGCAGAAGAAGAACATCACCCGGGAGCGATTCACGGTGCTTAACTACATGCACAAAGCGGACGCTTCCCTGTATGAACTCAGCCAGGGAGTTAGATCAGGCCACGTCAAGGTAAGGAGGAAATGGTAACGACGTGTGGTCAGCTGTGTGTGTGTGTGTCTGTGTTTGTTTGCAGAATGAACGCCTCTCCTCCGTCTGTCTGTTCACATCATTTAGTTGTGATTTTGCTTTCACTCTGCAGGTGCTGGAAACTGTAGTGAACGGCATTGAAAAGATGGGAGGTATGTGGGTGTTAATTCCTCCATTTTGTTCTTTATTGTGTGACTTTTCTATTAACTTGGCGGAAGTTGAATGATTCTTTTCATTTTCTTGCAGATGCATTTTGCTCTATGATGAAAGGCGGAAATGTCGGCAAGCAAATTATAAAGATATCAGAGTGAGGAGAATCACTGGAGCTGCTCTCACCAGACAGAGGCCTTGTTACCTACAGCTGCCTTTTGTGTCACTGTCATCAACACTAACTTAATGAACTCTAGAATAATATTGCATCGATTTGCTGATGCCAGTTGATTATAATTATGAACCATGAGTGAAAAATCACAGTGTTCTTTAAAATTGTAAAATCAACACCACTAACAGAGCTGTCGGACTGAAGAGAAATTGGCCAAGGACAGAAAGAAGTGGAGGGACTGTGTTGCTGCCTTATACACCAGCTGGCCCTGAGTAATGGAGGAAGTGAGTAGGTGTAGAATTATAACTCCTCGTACCATACCAATACCATGTGTCAGTGTAATGAATTCACTTGAGTTTTTTAATTTTAATTCTGAAAAATTTGATTCATGAAAACTCACAATTCCTCGATAACAATCTTGTTTAGACAGAAATTTTTATTTTTTTTCTCAGAATTCTAACATTATGTTAATAATTTAGAAAAGCAGTCTCTTGTCATGAAAACATTTCAGAAACTAACAACGAAATAAAACAGTAGATTTTTTTCCATGATAGCATTTCTCATAACTCGGAGGTAATACTCTTTTTAGTTCAGAAAAACAGGAGCAGATTTTTTTCCATTCAAATTTTTATCTGAATTGTTTCTGAAAACTTTTAAGAAAGGCTGAAATTCTTTTTTTTCACGGAAATTTCTCATAATTCAGAGATAATAATCTTGTTAATTCAGGAAAACCAGCTGATTTTTTTTTTTGAAAACAATTCTCATTATTCTAAGAAAGGCTACTGATCTCCTTAATTCAGAAAAACAAGAGCAGACATTTTCATGAAAACTTTCAAAATTCTTGTTAATTCAGAAAAACTATATTTTCTCCATAAAAATGGCTCTCATAATTTGATATAATAATCTCATTATGTCAGAAAAACAAGTAGATTTTTTTCTTGAAAAAATTCTTAGAATTCAGAGATTATAATCTTTTTAATTCTGAAATAAATAATTTTTCCACAAAACAGTCTTAAGACAGAAATTTTACTTTGTTCTCAGAATTCTGACATTTTGTCATTAATTTAGAAAAAACTGAGCATTCTGTCTTCATGAAAACTTTTCAGAAATCTGAAATAAAACAGTAGACAGTATTGTTTTCCATTATCACCTTTCTCATAATCCGGAGATAACAATCTTGTTAATTCAGAAAAACAAGCAGAATTTTTTTCCATTTTAAATTTTTCTCAGAATTCTGAGATTGTCATTTATTGAGAAAAATGAAGAAGTCTTTCTGAAAAGTTTTCAGAAAACTGAAATAAATTTTTTCCATGAAAAACTTTCTCATAATACAGAGGTAATAATCTTGTTAATTCGTAAAAACGAGCAGGTTCTTTTTTTCATATAAACTTTTCTTAGAATTCTAGGATACTAATTTTGTTAATTCAGAAAAACGGGGCAGTTTTTCCTCTCTTGTGCTCCATATTCTTGTTCACTCCCTTCTAAAACTTCCTGTGACAATGATGTGAACACAAACACAGAATCCATGACTTACTGTAATGAACATTTTATTCCACAGCACTATAAACCATTAATAAAATAAAATTGTGGTTGGCTCTAATTTCAGTTGTCACAAGAAAAATATGTGGCAGGTGTAAAATCATCATCTTTTCATTCATATACTCATATTGTTTGAACGCAGGAGGGGATGCAGAATAAGTCAATAAGTTAACAGCAGTACATCACTTACAGTAAATTCCCTCTCAGAGACGTCATGGTGGTGGAGTCCAGGTCTGTTTGTTGTGTCAACAATCAAATCAGTGTTACAGTACAGAACAATCACAACCAGATTCATATAGAACATAATCATTGAGCATTAATAACCTATCAAAAATGTCTCATCATGGTATGGTTTTGGTGGTGCTTCTGCAAAAATAATAAAAACAGCTCCATGCATAATTTGGAGGATGGAAGTGAAACGCAACACAACAGCGCCTCCTTGTGGACAGATTACAGATCTTATAAGAGGTACTGAGCATCATTAGAGAATAACTCTTCAATAACAAAAGTATATAAATGTTTAATATCTGTCTGTATGCAGGAATTATACATTTGGTGGTGCTCCCGTACAAAAAGACTTGTCTATGCAGAGAGGAGAGAAGAGCTTATTAAACCACTGTCAGCAGGAGAGCACATAATTCAGTTTCCTCAGTGTCTCGCAGCTGCTCTAATATTAAACTGTCTTATCACAGCACTGAGAACTGATCTGCACTCACACTGGAGATGGTTTAAAACATACTGGGATCTCTGTTAGAACATTGCTGCTATTAAAAGACTTGATAAATGTGGTCTTCACCCTATTTTTATTTTATTTTGATCAGTTTGTTCTTGTGGAATCCAGATACCTGCTGTTACTGAGTGGAAAGGACTGAATTAGACACAGTTTACGATGGAAGCCCATTTGTGCCAATGTGATGAAACAAAAGATTGTGTAAGTCCTTATGATGAGAAACTTTCTCAAAATAATAACTTACCTCTAAATAATAACATACTTTTTCAAAATAATGACTCAAAATCTTTTAAAATGGGTATCTCAAAAATAATGACAATAAAAAAAGTGACTTAGTAGCATTTCTCATTATTAAGTCCAAATTTCTAGACACTAAATCACTATTTTGTAATGCTGCCTCATTATTTAGTGAAAGCTTCTCATTATTTTGAGATACTAACTCACAATTTTAAGGTACTAATACATTATTTAGAGAAAAGCTTCACATTTTTTTGCATTATTAAGTCTTTTTTTTTTTTTTTTTAGATACAATCTCATTTAGAGAAGAGTTTTTATTATTTTGAGATATCAACTCATTTTACTGGGTCACTTTTTTAATAAGTCATTATTTTTAGATACTACATAATTTTGAGAAAATCTCCCATTATTTTGAGACCCTAACTCACTTTTTTAAGTAAGTCAGTATACTGAGATACTTTACATTACAATTTTTTAAAATAAGTCATTATTTTGAGAAAGCTTCACTTTTTTTGAGATACTTAGTCGTTATTTTTAGGTACTAAGCCTGACTTGCAGCTCCCCAGAAATGTAACTACACGTTGCGGTGACGCAGACCTCCAGTAGCCTATATTTTGTAAGATGAAACCATTTCCCTCAGTGGAAACAAAGCTTTTATTTACTTTCATTTCACAGATTAGAAACAATAAATTGTGAAGCCAATAAAGCCTCCACAAAAATAGCATTTTAAATCTTGTGTGTGATTTAACCTGGCTTCAGACAAGCAGAGGAAATCTCTCCTTGTTGCTAGGCTAATTTATACAATGTAAAATGCCATAGGCTTGTGCTAATAACATTAGCATGTTGTATTTGTTTGGAAAACATGTTTAGTATAAGACAGTTGTTTTGTCAGGGAACCTTGTGAGTTGTAATGGAGCTGAATTTTGTAACGTTACCTTTGTTAAATGTTGCTGTTGTCCCTGGTTTTATATGAGAAGAGGAAAAGTCTGCTAGCTGCTAAGCTAGTTTTTACAATGTAAAATGCCATAGGCTTGTGCTAAAAACATTAGCATGTTGTATTTGTGGGGAAAATGTGTCCAGATAAAGACAAGTGTTTGTCTGTGGATGCTGCGAGTTATAGTGAAGCTGATTTGTGTACTTGTGTTTGAAATTGTCTCTATTAAGCCATGTTTAATGTGTGTTTAATCTGTGTTTTGAATCAACTAAACTTTACAGCACTTCACAGAAACCCTGCCACTGACTAGTGTTTTGGAGGTGTAACTGCAGAGTGACACAGACACACCACTGCACAAGTATAAATGCTCACAATGCTCAAAAAAGTTTGTAATTAAAATGACTTATCATAGTGACATAAATGGGCTTCTATATGATTTGTCTTTTTCTCTTGGATCAGTTTGCTCTTGTGGAATTTAGGCACCTTCTACTACTGACGAGAAAGGATTGAACTAGAGTGCAACAGACACAGTTTACTGCTCTCACACCTTCACATAAAAGGAATTTGGAACAATACAGACGAACATTGTTTTCACACACAAAACCATCAAAATAACTTCCAACGCAGGGAATGCCCCATTTCCAGTGCAGATATATAACATGAAGGGGAAAAAAAGAGAAATCACTCAATACAATCAGAAAGAATAAAAAAAAAATAACAAAAAAACAGCATAGTACTGGCTCATCTCATTTCACCACATCTATAACACATTCATTTTGTTTTTGTTTTTTTCTAGCCACCACACATCTCGATTGTTTAACATGGTGTCTTAGTTCACTGAGCTACTATGGAGTATAAAACATTGTCCTGAAATACTACTGCCTATTGTTCAAGTGCTCACATTCCTGAGAAACAAACAGCTGCTTTCTGAATTCACGTTTGAAGGAGCACGAAGAGTCAGGCCGGCTTGTTTTTGTGTTTCGGTGAGAACCGGCATTGAAGTTTTTGATATGACTATTCAATGCGACTATTGAGACGTTTTTGAGTGGCAGTCGTGTGCAATGGAATTTTATTTAAAAACACTTTCAATTGTTAATTACTTGTACACAGATCAACTACAGTATTTGACTGATTTGTAATTTCCTTCTTGTGATTTCCTGGAGAATAAACGTGAAAATACGATCGTCTGGGTTGCATTACCTATGTCATCTTCACCGGAGATACTGTAACGACCGCACTCTGTCAGCCACGGGGAGTCAGGAAAGCTCACAGAACAGCAAACGAGGCTTTCTCATCCACATAATTTGAGTGTCGGAAGGTAAACACGAGGATCGGTTTGGCACGTCCAGCCTTCATTAGTGAATGAAAATGATTTTCAGAGGGAAGAATAAAAGGTGAAATCTTTCTTATTCATCCTTTGGCAGTGGTGAAGTGGCGTTTGGCCAAGGCAACACTTCCAAAAAGTGCTAAAGCTCAAGTAAATGAGTCAGCTTAAACCACAGCAGAATATACTGTGAGAGGGACAGTTTGGATCTTTTTAAGTGGGGTCGTGTGAGGTACTGATCTATAGTCAGTGTTTTTCAACAGCAGATGGCGGTTGTCCCAGTTTGGAGAGGCAGGCAGGAGAACCACAACAGAAGCAAAGCAACAGAATACTGTGGACAGGGGTGGCAGCAAAACATATTTAACCACCAAAAACAATCAACCTCAGTTTAGGTGTAAGCTATATTTATAATATTGGCACTGATTTAACATGCTGTCAGACAGCCTTTTCTAAGGAGGACTGGAAGCTGGAAGCTACACCCTCTTCTTAGCCAGACTCCATTGACAAAAACAGTAATTTTACCTCGCAGAACACCGGAGTTGCTGGTCAACCACTGCCTCAGTTGGTTCCCATGTTCTCCCATGTTCAGCAAGGTAAAATTACTTGCCTCTAATGGTCCCATTTCCACCAAGCAGCAGAGTTCAGTTCAGTTCAGTTCGGTTCGCTTTTTTTCTGTTTCCACTGTGAAAAGTTGTGGATGGTACCAATGGAACCATTCCATACTGTCCCCATTTTTGGTCCCCCCTCTGTTGGGGTACCTAGCACACAGATCTGGTACTAAAAGGTGGAGCTGTGAACACTGCAGTCTGCTGATTGGTCGATAGAGGACGGTCACTCTGCTCAGGGCTGAGTTGTGGCTGGTTTTGAGGCTCATGTAACCACTGTTCATACCGTGGAGAGTTTTATTAGTAAACTGTAACTATAAAATGAAAGGATGTTTTGCTGCCTTTATTTTGTTCAGAAAATGTCGGCGTGCAGCCTCATTCTCTGGACGATAAACGAGGTGTAGACTTCCTGTAATGAGGAAATACAGTGAGTGCTGGACGGAGCAGTGGGTGACAACAACCTAAGAGTACTGTTTGGTGTGGAAACACTAGGGTCTAGGTACTATGTCTGAAGGGTTACTTTTGGTTCCAAAGGTACCATACTGAAAGTGTTTGGTGGAAACAGGGCTCAAGACAGCGACAGATAACTGCTTCAGTTTGCTGTCAAAAAGGGCTGTCTGATATAAATATTCTAAATATAGCACACATTTGAACCGATAATGATTTTTTAAGGTAGCTAAAATATGTTTCGCTGCTGCCCCTGTTCACAGCAGTACATTGCTTAGCCTCAGTCGCAGCACTCCTGGCTTCTCCAAACTTTGAGCATGCTGACCACCATCTACTACACGAAACACACTGACTATGGATAAGCTCCTTATACAACCTCATTTTAAAAAATCTGAATTATCCCTTTAACTGCGGCATACATTGGACGAGTCCTCATACAGCTTAAATAAATAGCTTAAATAAGCTATTTTACTCCCAATGTATCCGAAGTGTTTTTTTTTTTTTTACACTGTACACATTGCTATGAATATGGCCAGAAATGTGCTCACCGGTGCTTTACAATAACATGCATATTGAGTAAACAATACTATTGATAAACAGGATAGTGAGTGATGTACTGTGAAGTGGCTTTTGGAAGGAGGAGAGAAAGAAAGGAGGGCAGAGGGGGAGGGAGGGCTGCTGCTGCTGTGTGGGGAAAATTGAGGCTTTCAGGGTGGATAGAGACAGCAAAATATATCTGTGAGTCAGGGTCGAGGGGGAAATCGTGGTGGCACAGTGCAATTACTGTCAAGAGGGAGAGACGCTCTTGCTGTTGTCACGTAAGAGAGGGGCGGGGCCTGTCCAGGCGCGGTAGACCAATAGCAGACTGAGCCCTAGTGCCCACGTGCGGACCGGAGACAGGAAAAAGGCCATGGGGCCATAGGTCTCCAGCAGAAAGTAGCAGGAGTGGGCCTGCCAAGTGAGCAGCAGCAGCATGAAGAAGTGAACCGCCAGAGTCCGCCAGCGGCAGCCCGGCCGCAGGAAGTGGGAACGGAAGGTGTTGCCGCGGCAACGGTGGTGGAGGCTCCAGCAGAGATAGCAGGTGAGGGGCATGTTGAAGAACAGCAGCTGGCAGAGAGGAAATGGGACCAGATAAAAGTGATTAGCCTTTGATTATCACACATTTTTACAAGAAAATACTAACACAGCCAACAGCATATGAACGTGTGGTTAAAAGGAATGATTGGAGTTTTTAGGCAGTTGGCTTGTGACCCCTTAAAATAAAGAAATATGTGCCTATAACCTCTCGTCACAAGTTAGAGTGAACATGACTCATGAGCAGCTTCCTTGTCATATAGTTTAAATCTGAAGTATTTTAATAGAGTTTAAAGTTTTCAGCCTCTCACAAGAACAAAAAAAGGGTCTAAAATGAGAAAAAAACTTTTGTAACAAATTTTTCCTTACCTTAATTATCTTGTGGCCCCCTTATTTTATTTTGGGACCCGTTGGGGTCCCTTGAGGGCGCACTAGTAGGTCAGTGGAACTTATTAAACTAAAAATGTAATTACAACTATGATTAATATGACAATATGCCAAAACTAGGATCACTACCTCGCAGTTGTATGCCTCTGTGAACCGGTTAAGTTGCACTTATACAATTTACATCCATGTCTGTGGAAACATGGCTGCTTCACACACATCGCCCCCCACCAGCACAGAAGATCTATACAATCAGCACAGTTTTAAGGTGGACACCCAAAAATAGTGTCACCACTTCAATATCTATCAGTATATCAGTCACAGCCCATATTCACAATCTTTTACACACACAAAGCATATCTGCAGAGGAGGAGGATCTTGCTCATGTACAGACATTACTGAGATGTTTATGCATGGAATAAAATTATTTTTCTTACTTGAACGACTCCAACAACATAAGTGAGACTGCCCTCTAGGAAGTGTCCGTCAATGAACACCCCGAAGGCGAAGCAGGCACCACTATGGCCATCTATCAGCTCTCCTATGAACCACGGGCCTGATGGACGAGAGGCAGAGACAACACAGGACTTATTGAGACAGACACAGGTGCAAGATTACAATGAAATCTCCTAAAACAAACCTAAGTTTTGGCAGCATTCGACCCACCTAAGGCTGTGCACAGGTTGAACAGCAGCAGAGCGTAGTAGAAGGTGTCCGTTGTGCTGACCATACGAAGCGACATACAAGCTTGAGAGGTCAGTCCTGCAGATGATAGAACAGCAACGTATGAATATATAAAGACAGAACAATTATCAGTATTTAAATAAATACTTATAAGGGTAACTTGGACTTTATTTTCATATATTTTTTGTGTCCAAGTGACTAAAGGAACAACAAATTTTGAAACTGGTCCAGTTTTGAGTGAATGGGCTGCAGCCAGCAGCAGCTTGGGGCAATTTGCACCATCATTTATGGTCCACTGTGAGTGCTTGTTTTTGCTGCTGACAGGCTCAATTTGTTATTCTCAGTGTCTGACAGCATTGTGGAAAGGATTTTGACAAAGATAGACCTTTATATTAAAGAGTAAGATCATTTTCTTTAACCAGAAACAGCCCTAAAATCGCTATCACCAAACTCACCAGACACCATTTAGATAATCATTAATTTAGTGTCAAAACTAAATTATGACAGTGTATTTATCTGTAGGGCGTTCAGTGACAGCTCACCTCTCCCAGCAGGAACACGCAGGAACCTAAAGGCCAGCAGCACCCCGACATTCAGCAGCATCATAAATATGAAGGCCACTCGGCCCAGGATGTAGTGGTCTGTGAGGAGGATGAAGGACTGCACGAACCCAAAGCTGGGAGTCAGGTCATCCTCCAGAGTAAAGTGCTGCTCCCGCACTGACGACCGGCCTGCCGAGTCCTGACTCACACACAAAAACCAGAAAGGAGTAACTCAGTAATTCTGTAAGTATGAGAAAATCACATTACAGTGACCCAGACGGCAGATCTACATCAGCTGAATGTTAATCGAACCGAAGCAAACAAATTCAATCAAGAGCTATGAAATATTTAAAAGTCTCAGAACACTTTATGTAGGAGATAAATGAACGCTGCGCTGACCTCCACTTTAACTCTGATGGTGTGCAGTCCTGTGAGGTAGAGAGACGGATCCCACAGTAGAACGTACAGAGGACCTCCAGCGGAGTGGCCTTTCCCCAGAGGTTCCCCATCTACGCTCACATGCACCGCTGTGATTGGGGCCTCGGAGAAGGCCAAGATTCTGTTGAGAACCAAGAACATGGATGTTTTCATATTGAACATCAGACAAAGGCTGCGTTATTGTTGCCTACTAAAAAAAAAGCTATGACGAACCTCAATTAAAGGGTATAAATGCTTGTTATTTTCATTAAAGTAAGAGAGTACGAGTTTATGACAACGAGTCATTACAGCGTATGCCATATAACCGCAGCGTCCTGGGTTTGATTCTAGCCTTGGGATCTTTGCTGCATGTCATACCTCTCACTCTTTCCCCCATTTCTACACTGTCCTCCATCAAATCAAGGCAAAAAGACAGAAAATAATCTATGAAAAATTTAAAAATCATGCCAGTAGCAATCAAACACACAACAAAACCAAAAACGTATCCCCCTAGACAGAGGTAACTACAGTTTAGTTAGCAGTGATGTAATAACCCACATAGTGAGCTGGGAATAGAAGGGACAGGTGCTCTGTAAAAATGTGTGTACTAGAGCCAGTGACGCATTTTTGGTCCAACAAACACTTAACACACACACAGAACAGACACCTGATGTGTGTCGATCTCCGTATTCGACCCAGCGGCTCCACTCCGGGGTGCAGGTACTGTGCGTCCTTGGGGTTGGTGATGAGCACTGCGGGCCACTGCTCAAACCTCAGGTCAGAGAAACTCAGCATGTCGTGGTCGAAGGCCAGAACTCTGTACCTGGAGACAGACGTGAGACAGGGTTTCTGCAGGGCTCAAGTTAAACTTTTTAATACCACAGAGTGCAATTTAATACCTGTTACACATCAGTGTATGAATTTAAGTTGGTGGCTGAAGCAAAGTTTATGTGTTTCACCATCATCATGGTACAGTTATTAATCTTAGATAGCCACAAATACATGACCTCATCACTATGCACCCTGCAAACAGCTGTGTTTGAAAAAGAAAAATACTACTTACAGTTAGAGTTTTTTTTGTGTGTGTGTTTTCACATTGTCAGTTCATTTGAAAGAGGACTCAGTTCTCTTTCTGGTCAACTTCTGCTGAAAAGGACCAAGTGTGAAAACACCCTAAATTGAAGTTTTGCCAGAAGCTCCAGAGCCACTGTAGCTAGCAGTAGTCATTTACAGGTGTATAACGCCCACAGCGGGACACAAAAACATTTCACTACTACTTCCTAAGATAGTCAAGAGATAATATCTTAGACTAAATTAAATTAAACACCATAACCCTAAATACATTAAAGACTCTCTCTGAGGAAACTGAATTTACTGAACTGCTTTTTAAGACTTTAGTTCTGCAAGTGAGATGAACAGCTGTGTGTGTGGGAGGAGTGGGCTCCCAACTGGTCAGTGTTTCAAGTGTAAATATTTTGCATTCCAGTTGTTATTCATACCTGCGGTTATCCATCCAGTCACCCAGCTCCAGCTCTAGGGTGCCTTGGGGGTGTCGGCTGTGGAGGACGGGCATCAGGCCGCCCAGTGTGTGCAGGTGGCCACACAGATATGCAACAGCAGATCTAATCACAAGGAGTCCAGATGTGAGAGCTGTAATAACATTCTCATAATATGCCGACAACTGCTTGATAATATAATGAATATTCCTGAAAATGCAAAATAAAGGATTCTGAAAGAAGAAATGTCACTTTGGTTTTAATATAATCAACAGGATGAAAATAAACACTGCTGACCTTCGGCTTCATCATTCTAAGAATGTGTGATAAAATCTAGCATGCATGTCAAAAGAGAGGGCTGTTGAATGTTTGCAGAGTGACTTACTGGGACAGTAGATAGTTCCACACCCTGCTTTTAAAGAAAAAACTGGTTCAGCTTCTGACTTCCAGCATTTTCTCACCTCATCATGTCCCGAACTCCAGGAGACGGGGAGACGACGGTGGAGGTGGTGTAGTGGCCAAACCAGATCGACTGGTTGCTTTTCAGACTTTCAATTCTGAACCTGTCCAGCAAGTCCATTTGAGTCTGACACACATCAAGAAGAAAAAAAAAACATTATAATAACTACATGTCCCATTAAAGTCATTATCTACATTGTGTAAGCGCTGTATTCAGTCACATTTACAGCACTGTGTATCATTTAAGTATGAGGATACTGTACACTTTGTGCCATTATGTGTTAGTGCTCCCTTCTATTTGTCTGTTTCTTAAACAAACATTTTTCCATCTTCTGTTTACTATGTAATGGCCACATTTTCTTACAGAAGGAGGAGGATCTTTAAGGTTTACTTTGCAGGAATTGTCAGATACTGTTTGTAAACAGTATCGCTGTCGAAAATGAAAGCCAACCCCAGACTCACTCCGCTTGGCATTTGGCCTTGCTGTATTTGTGTTTGTTTTTGGTGCTGTGTCCACAATTTTTGTGGCTCCCTCCTAGATGCATGCTGTTTACAGTCTGGCACGTCGTCGCTACCTTTTCATGAAGTCCTGACCTTACTTGAACACTGTGCTCACGAACGTCCCGACCATAGCCAAAAAAAGGAGTCTCTGTAGATGCATACACCGCCTCACATTTCTAATGGGTCATAAGTGATAACTGAAAGGGAATTACTTTTGTATGAGTACAAAATATTGACATATAGGGCCTTAATTAAACCATCTATATGGCAGATGGTGGATAGTGGATGGCACAAGTGCATTAAGAGCATGTTCAACTCCACTTTTGCTAGTTAAAGGGCACATAATGTGGGTACAAAATAAGGTGTAAGGAGCAATGGGGGTTGTATTTAGTTCCTAATTAACAATCAGAGAGTCATCTCCCATTTCCTTTAAAAGCCAGTTGCACCTGCACCTTGCATACTGGTATTTACATGATGGATTCGGCAAACTGAAAAGGCGAGTGGTTTTCTGCTGAGAGTAATACAGTCAGACAGGAGTCAGGTTAATTTCCAGGGCTGGTACCTGCAGTTATTCCACAGGCTAGTTAATAACATGTCGGGCAGGAAATCCAAAGTGTGGGATCATTTTGAGAAGGTGAAGGACGAACCCAAGGTGATATGTAAACTCATCTTCATTGGTCGACTACAAACATGACGTATCATCTGAAACATGGAAGTAGCTACATGCCCATTAGCCCACAGCGTCATTAACAGGCGGCTCGCTCAGTGTGTGACGTGCACTTGTAGATAAAATATAGGCCTATACTAATGAATGTTCATTAGTACGTTTTTGTATTTCTCTGTAATGTAGCACAGTGTTAACAATGTTACCGATACTATTCTTTCTCACACCTTCTGTGATGATTTTGGTTCCTGTGGTATGTTTTTGTGTTTGTTCTCTCTCTCCCTCCCCCTTTCTTCTGTTCTGCAGTGCATGTGTGTGTCAGGGGGCGTGGCTGGCTTCTCCTGCAGCAGCAGATGAGGCACACCTGTCTTCAATCACCTCATCTTCCTGTCTACAAGAGCCTGGTCTTCACTCCATTACGCTGCCAGATATTTCCGTCATGTTCGGTAGAGCTCTGTGTTCTTACATTTTGTATCTTGTGCTCAACTTGCTGCATAGCCGTATTTTGCTGCCTATTCTTCTAGTGTTGCTAGAGGTTTTTGTACTTGTGGTTTTTTCCCTGTTGTACTCAGGTCGTCCTTTGTGCCTCACCGTGTGCCTGAGTTTTTTTCAATCCATCCTTCGGTGAATATTCTACGAGCCAGCCAGCTCCCTGCCTCCACCGCCTGCTCTTGTTTTTTCTTATTGTTAATAAACCTTTTTTGTGACTGACCTGCATCAGTATCTGCTTTGGGGTCCAAACAAAACCTGTACCTAACACCTTCAACTCAAACCATTGTGTTGCCCCACCCAAAACATATCATTTCATAATTAATTTAATATCAGAAACATGGGGGCGACTAGTCGACTCATGGCCCTAAATGATGACTATTGGTTGACTAGGAAAATTCTCAGTCGGGGGCAGTTCTACTCTCTACATATCGGGAAAATACTGCGCTATTCTGACTTTCAACCAGAAATGTGGTGGTCATTGGAAACTTACATACCCGTGGCTGCACAGATGAGCACAAGTACATTTGCTACAAACAACATGGACGCTGACTGCGAAATGACAACTGTGCGGCACAGTGCACTGCTTTGCATAGTATACCTTTAAATCAAATTAATCCTCATCTTCAAGTGTAACAAAAGCACAATTGATTGCAGTATTCAACGTTTCTCTACTGTCTGAAATTTGTCACAAACTCAGTGTCTGTTTATGTTCTGTCAAGAGAAGGTGCAGAAAGTTGTACCTGGTTGAGAATACCGAAGAAATTGTACGGCCTCTTGGGTCCTGGAGTCAGAGTGGCATCGGCACAGACAAAGGAGTAGTTGCCAAAAGGAGTTTTATGAACATAATGGAAAGAGCCTACTTTCTGATTAGCCGAGTATTTCCTAGAGAAAATTGAAGAAAAAAAAAAAGAGTCAGCGTGAGCAACAAGATACAACGGTCTGGGATGGAGTCAGCCAGCAGCTCCAGTCCTAATAGAGTCCTGAGATAATTTGATGCATTTTAAATAAATAAATTAAGCTTGCATAGGAGACAGTCTTTGTCTGGCAGAGGATGGCCACAACATTAAGAATATTAAGGAGATAAAAGATCAATCAGCATTAACAGAAGCAGCAGTGTCACATAAAACATAATTTGTGTCACAAGACAAGAGGCTGTTCATGCAGATTCTGCCTCTATTTTCGTCCTCGGGAAGCACAGGCAGCTTGGATTATTGTCAATAAATAGGTCTGCAACTACTCATGTTTCAGAGGCATTGAATTTACGATGAGCTCTGATCGGCCTCGTGATCAGCTTGCTACTTTAAGACATGCAGGAGCAGACTCTGACTGGGTGTAAAGGAGGCTTTAACCATTTCATACTGACCGGTAATAATTGTTGATGCTGTCCAATGACATAATATTGAAGGCATCTGTTGGAAGAAATGAAACAAGGGTGAGATATAGCAGAATATTATGTTTGATGAAGTAATTCCCATGGAACAACACTATTTAATCAGAATCAGATTTCCTCATGTTACAGGAAGATATCGAACAAAATCCGTTGTTACCATAGAGTCCATAAACTGACAGGACACACATCAATGACTGCGATCGATAAGAGCAGAATAGCTGTCAGAGAAACTCCAGATCCAATAACTAGCTTTCTCGTTTTTTTTTTGACAGTTAAAAAGTAAGGATATCGTCTTTCACATCTAATAGCTTGCGATCCAATAACAGAGGGAAGAGCAGCGGTGAAAAGGATGGGGCAGGACGAGCACCCTCGGTTAATGGATTCTTCGGAAAATCTTAATTGTTTTCTGGGCCGTTTCCATCGAGCCAGACAGTTTGGAGAGGACATTAAGATAACAAAGTGCTGCGGTTAATCACCATGATTTCCACGGATGTCTATCCACCTCGTGCGCTCCATCACACGTGACCTTTTCAGGATGTTGTGGTAGGCCTGCCACTCCACCTCGTGCTGGAGGGAGCCCACCTTGCTCTCTGTTTTGGCGTCTGTCAGATCCCCTGTGGAGGGAGAGAGGAGACACATCTGAGGACACAACATGGCCACACCCAGTCAGGCTTGTTACAGCTTAACAAGTACGATAAGGCTGTATTGTCCCGGAGGAAATGTGACTTCTACAAATACAGTATCAGCTGTTAGGAAAATACTAATTAACACTGTGCATACATGCAGCATAAAGGCAGACTGTCACAATACCACATGCTCACGCACACACAAACACACCCTGCATGCATGTGTTGGAATAATTGGAAATAAAAGGTCATGAATGCCCCCCTCAAGTGAGAACTACAGGTAAAAATTTTGGTACTCAACTTGCTGAGTTGACATTATATCACGCAAAAACATGGCAAGTGAAAGTAAATGTTTGGTTGATGTTAAGACACTTATTAGTTTACATATTGCATATACATTTTTGCTCACACTAAAGGTCCAGTGTGTAGGATTTAAGGGGATATATTAGCAGAAATGGAATATAATATTATAAGCATGTTTTCTTAAGTGTATAATCACCTGAAAATAAGAATCATTGTGTTCTTGTTACCTTAGAATAAGCCGTTTATATCTACATAGGGAACAGGTCCTCGTCTACAGACACTGACACCAGAGGGACCTTTTTTTTTTTAGCAGCCACTCCACAACTAGGAACATTAGAGAAACACTGATTTTTTTAACATTTAACTGCTTTTTTTTTTAGGTGGTTTTAGTGATTTAAATCAGCAGGTCTGTTTGTTTTGGATTTGGAGAGGAGGAGACCATGGAAGAGACAAAAATTTGGCTCCCAGTAAAAGTCTGGATCAGAAAAACGGTGAGCACACGTTAGCAGGTGCTGGGCTCGCAGCCCATTTCTGACGAGCCAAAAGGTGTCGGAGAGGAGAAACACTGAACTGTGACATGAAACTGCCTTTTTTTTCAGGTTTAAATCACCGGGTCTGTTTGTTTTGAAAAGAAGGAGACCTCTGTGCATAATTTTGCATAATTAGAAAAACAGAACGTATTACTCCCATACACAAAACACTTCACTGGCTTCCAATAAAATACAGAATTGATTTCAAAATACTCCACACCGTTTCCAAAGCACTTCGTGGTCTGGCTCCTCAATACATCTCTGACCTGCTCACAGCCTACATACCCCCCAGAACCCTCAGATCATCAGACACTGGTCTCCTAACTGTGCCCATGATCCAAAATAAATTTGTTGGAGGTGCATTCAGTCATTATGGCCCGACTCTCTGGAACGAACTGCTTGATGATCTGAGATTCTCTGCAACTGTGTCATCCTTTAAAGTCAAGCTAAAGACCTACCTGTTCTCCCAGGCCTATGAATAGTTAGTGCCTCTGTCTCTCTGTCTCTTCTTCCCCTCTCTGGTGTTTCTTCTGGGGATGTGTGATTTGGTATGTCTGTGCAGGTGGGTGGGCTAGGGATGAATTACCCTCAGGATTTAATTTGTTTTTATTCACACATGTTGTATGTAAAAGCGCATTGAGATTATAAATAATATAAATAAAATTTGACTGATTTGACCATTAAAACCTCCTGAACAATGGACACTGAACGAATCCTAACTAGGAGTTTACACTTGGCAAATGGGAGAAAATTCAGCTGGATGCAATCTGCAGTCTTCACCGCTAGATACCACTAAATCAGGGGTGTCAAACATACGGCCTGTGAGCCAAAAAAGGGTCCAATCCGGCCAACTAGATGACTGCACTAAGAGGTGCCAGGTTTCAGGAGCAAGTTAAACAATGCCGACTTCATGTAAAATTCTGCTTCAGGGGCTTTTCCACCCTGACCAGAATACAGCTCTCTGATATAACAATGAATACTTACTGTGACCATGTTTAAAGATACTGAACAATGTGCAAAATATTGTCAGCAGCTTCAAAGTGAGAGATATTGTTGAAATTGTACCTATTCTTTATTAGACATCTCAGACTGTTCATCTGATTTGCAAAAGGATGAACATCTGTAGAATATATTGAAGCTGATAATACTTATAGGTTATTGTGTGATGGTTTCATTGGCATGGCCCATCTGAGGTCAAACTGGGCTGTATCTGACCTTTGAACTAAAATGAGTTTGACACCCCTGCACTAAATTTACACATTGCTCCATTAAGAAATGTTTTATTAATTCATATACTGCATATTAATTAAAGTAACATGGTATTTGTAATCCTAAACGTAGAGTGACCTCAATAAGCCAGAAGTTATTTATTAGCATTAACCCTGATAACAAAGATAAAGCTATGTTTAGTGGTTTTAGGGAATGTACTGGTGCAGAACAACTCTGGGACAAAATGACTTTGCTGTTTTAATGTGTGAAGTATTTTGTAATGACTTTGTTTGTTTTACTGACTTCTATTTGATTGCTTTGACAGTGTCTTCTTCTGTGTCTGGTGAGCCGAAGACACATTTCAACCCCTGGTGGACAATAAAGAGATACTGTATTGTAGTATATTCTCTATACAGCTTCAAACTGTTTCACCAGACTTGGATAGCAACATGAATCCTCACTGGGACTCTGAATGCTCTGAGCAATAACACAAAACAACATCTCTGTAGTGTCCATGTTTTTTCCACTGCAGTCCAACTCAGGAAACGGGATCAAACGAGGGGCACGTGAATGCAGCATACACCACTTACGTGTACATGCACCAACTGCACACCTGCAGTCATCATAACAGTGTACATGATAGTAACTAGAGCAAGACATGGGGGTTACTGTACCTGTTGCAAGCACCAGAGCTGGCTTGATCACTTCAATTGTGTCGGTGCAGAACTTTTCAAAATCAGGAATGCGTCTTGGGTCATGAAATCGGCTTATGTGAATATCAGACACCTTGAACCAAACATAAAAGCGTGAATCAGGGATTAATTAGTCATAAATATATATTAAATGGGCTGTAAATGTGGCTTTAGTGTAGCCTTTTTAACACATTAGTGTGAGAGTTGTAAAACACAAAGGGTACAAAGTCTGACTACAACTTACTGTGTTGCTGAACGTCATTTTTACCTGACAATGACACACTTCTGTGGTCACTGACCTCTTTCTGTCAATCATTGAGAGGGAGTTCAGTGGGTGAACTACCACAGCTAGCTTCATACGACAACACTGCAAACCAAAGATGGATAGTCTACTCTACATTCATGTTAAATGTATGACTGTGATATTACAAGTGGGGATATTGGTTGTATTTAGGCAGCATCATTCCGTTTGTATCGAGACCAAACACAGCTAGCTAGCAAGAGAGAATAAAGCCCACCTGTATAAACCAGAATATATTGCTCAACTCGCCGCCGGGAAATGGTGGAGAGCTCCCCTTGGCTTCATCTCCATCACCGACAGTCTGGTGCTGGACGCTCCGTTTCGGGTGCCAAGCCGTGTCATAGCTGTCCAGCACCCAGGAGGTGATGCACGCCAGGGCCAGTCCGAGGATAACCAGCGCACCGAACAGCCTCAGCATCCTCCTGTAGTGGCGAGAGAGGGGGCTAGCTGCCGCCGTCTGTCCCGGACAGAAAATAGCTAAGCTACTGGGTGAAATAGCTAAGGGCACGAATCACACTAACATTAACTACAGATATTGTCAACCATTTGGCTACATAGCTAAGATGTCAGACCGTTTCTGTCGCTGCCATCGCGGCCACGGGAGATGCATTGGGTTCATTCACGGATCTCCGCTCAGCTGCCTTCGGAGGCGGAGGAGGAGGTAGCTCAGCAGGTTAGCTAGCAGCTAGCTACCTACCAGCTACCAACACAGCACACAGACCGGTTGGATGTGAGGACGTCACCAGGATTGTGTGTGCAAGAAGAGCTCCCACTCTCACACCGTTTTCCGGGTACCGCAATCGACCGCAATACTACTGCACATGTCATCGCGAGAAGGCACGAGAATAACGAAGTACAGGGAAGACATGGAATTTAAAGTAATTTATTATTTTAATTTTTTTAATAAGGGGAATTATATTTTTGAATTAATCGTTCTATTTTTTAGAAAACGTTTTTTAAATATATTATATATTATATTATAGATTTTTTAAAAACATTATTTTAAAAATATATTATTAGATATTAATTTTTTCATTTAGCAAATATCCCACAAAGATCTATAAACATGTTTAAGTAGTGTACTGTTTATCTCGTTGTTCAGCAGAACAGAACATAACATCACATAGCCTATATATATATCGTAATAACTTCGTATAGCATACATTATACGAAGTTATACGANACTATCATTGTGTATAATATGGAGATGCAGCCCACAACTTCCATACAAACTCCCAAAGAACTTTGCATATTAATGTAAATGTAAGTATGCTATATATACTGTATATACTGTCATATCCACATTTGGTTTTCTATCTGTAGATGCTCCAAAATATTTTTGCATATCAGTATAAATGTTAACACATATACATTGAATACACCATTGAACTGTTGTCCTACTGTTTACATATTTCATTGTGTTGTTGGTTTTCTATTTGTAGATACTTTCAAAAAATCTGTAGCTACATAGTTGTCATGTTTTTTTTTCTGTGTTCAGCTTCGTTATCCTTGGGGGTTTTTTTTTTTAGCTCTATGTCTATTTCTGTGTAAGTACATTGAGAGCAACCAAAAAAAGGAGTAAAAAATTGTATGTGTACACATGAATTGCCATACAGAACATGATTCTGATATGCTCAAACTCTCAGTTGTTTATAACTGAGTCTTAAAACTTCACTGTGTTTTTTTTTCTATAATCAGAAAAGAGCTATACTGTCTCGGCTTTATGGTTTTGAATACATTTCAGCAATTAATGTCAGTGTCAATCAGCAAAACTGATTCAAGTTGAAACACACCAGTGGGGGAGGAAGTACTCAGTTATTTTACTTAAGTAAAAGTAGCAGTGGGTTACTATAGTGTTGTGAAAATATTCTGTTGCAAGTAAAAGTCCTGTATTGGCATCAAAATGTACTTAAAGTACCCAAAGTAAAAGTATTCCCATGGAGGATGGCCCATTTCAGAATGACACACCATGTATTATATTAGCCCACTGGATTAGTGATACATTAATATGTACATCACAGTAATGTTGTAGCTGGTAAAGGTGGATATAATTTTAACTACTTGCTGGGTAGCTTAACCTAAAAGTATAATAATTTGATAGTTGATTTATAGTTTGCATTGTAAGTGATAAATAACTAAAACTGTAGAATAAATGTGGGCTAGTCAGCAGTGTAGTTGTTGTTGATGAGGCAGGTGTACTATATGTTACTGTGGAAGAAGTGAGTAATGTTATACTCTCATATATATTATGATGGCATTTTGGCTGAGCGGTGGGTAGGCTATACTTTAAATGGCCAGAAAAAGAGGTGGGTATACCCTGTATACCTGCGTATACTCTGAACTATACCTCTGAGTAGAAGTATAAAGCTGCATAAATGTAAATAGCCTGCTCAAGTAAAGTACAGGCACTTTCAAGAGATCAGATCAGATAAAACAAGACTTTATTAATTCCATATTGGGGAAATTCATGTTACAGCATCTCAAGAGTCATAAGGAAAAAGCAATAAGAGACTGAATGGTAAAAAAGGATAAAAAAATACTACAAAACATATAATAAAGATAGAATAATATAATAGTGTAAAATCTACATTCACTATATATAACTTTTACTTAAACAGATACTGTTATGTCCATGATTGATAGCTGCACAGGATAACTGAAATATGCACATAATGTGTAGTGTATTTACTGTAAGATACAGATATATATTACTTTACTGTAATTAACCTTGTAGGACCCTTCGGACATCTGGGGGCTGACCCACTGACCGTCCCAAGAGTCAGAACAAAACATGGTGAAGCAGCATTTTGTTATCATGCAGCACAAACCTGGAATAACCTCCCAGATGATGTCAGAGAAGCCCAGACTCTGACCAGTTTTAAGTCCAAGCTAAAAACATTCCTTATTTATACTGCCTATTCCACCATATGGTGACCGCAGCCTTTTAAAACTCAATTTTAAATCATTTTAAACAATCTTTTCTGTTCTGTTTATCTGTGCAGCTCATGCCTGCCCATGTGCTATTGTTAATGGTGATTTCTTTCAATTGTAAATCATTTTGTAATTAATTTTACCTTTTATATCTTTTTTTCTCTCTACTCTTTCCTGTATCCTTTATTATGTTTTATATTTTATTGCTCTTAGTTACATTCCACCACTGTTGAACACCCATAAGTAAAATAGGCTATATCTTTGCATATTTAATCAGTTAGCTGATAATAAAAACAGCTGTGTGATTGAATGAATGAGGAGAATGAATCTTTATTGTCATTACACAAAATGTACAATGAAATTCCATTTGACTTCCCCTGTGTAAGAACAATTAGAAGTGCACACACACACACACACACACACACACACACACACACACACACACACAGCAGCAGCAGCAGCAGCAGCAGCAATAAAAAGTGTCAGTGCAAATTTAAAATAAAATAGTACAACTATCAACATCTTTGAATTAATGTCGCTTCCTGGTGGTCTTTACGAAAAGCGTCATTTTTCCTCTTTGGTCGCGTTCCAAACAAATTAAACTGTATCCTTAAACAATACAGAGATTACTTTTTAAAGCTTTATTCAGTTTCTCAACTATGTGTTTTTTTTGTATTGTACGACGTGTAAATATTAAATTACTCGACTAAATGTTTATAATATGATTAAAATCATATTAAATATAAAATATATTTATATTTTAAATTACATATAATTAATATATATATAATTTGCATTACTTAATTTTATATTTTATATAGAAATGTATACAAAACATGAAATACAACTATTAATTTAAGGTTATTTAAGCTTAATTTATTCTATTTTGTGCCTTTTTTGTTGTGTTTCTTGTCTTTGCGTTATTGTATCTTGTGTTCTGTGTACTGATTGAATGGTTAAAAAAAAGTAAGAGTGGTCTAGTGGTCTTTATTCAATTTTAATTTTTTTTTT